TGTGAGCAATCAGCCTGTCTTGAGTGCTCCTTCAGCTGTCCCAATACTGCACTGTATCCCTGGGGAACTTGCTCCCAAGGCGTGTGTCAGGGAGCAGTGGGAAGTCTCACAGCTAAAGGCAGCAGCACCAGGTACCTTGGAAGCAGATGTTGGCAAACACAGGGCCTGGTCCCCAGCCAGTTTCTTAAGCCTCTCCAGATCCTATAACCAGACCAAAGTGGCTTCAGGCCCCACTTGACTGATTCTAAATCCAGACACATACAGAAACTATTAGAAGACGTCACGTTGGTATTTTTATGGCTTTGTAAATCTGTTCTTTGCTTAATGCCTTAGACACCTTGGACCACAATCTGGGTGGCCAGGAGGAAGGTATAGCAAAAACCCCAAAAAACAGGCAGCATTGATATTAAGACTAGATCTTCTGTGTTCTCTCTAGTCCTTTGTCTACCGTGCACCATCTTGGAGGTAGAAGACATTTAAGGCTTCTCAGTCTTCCCCAGTTCTCTCCTCGATCTAACTTCCCACAAATCTGGCCTGCCCTCCAGGTCTCCAGGCACACCAAATTCCTTGCCTTTCATGGATGCATCATTAGTGCGAAGTCAAGTCTTTGCACTTGCTGTTCCTCTCTTCGATCTGGAACATTATCTGCTTAGAGAATGTCCTCTTGACTGCCAGCCAAATTTCTAAAGAAAGGGCAGATGCTTCTCAAATGTTTCTCCAGCCCACTTCTTCCTCTCTCCTGACTTCATGGCGCTCCTTCTGCATAGTACTTCTCCCTGCGTCTCTACCTGCTTGTCAACCTGCTGCCTCCCTGCCTTTGCAGCTCCTGACTCAGGAGCACTGCTGGGCTTCCTGGCTTTCAACTGGTGCTTGAAAATGTCCAAAAATGCAGGAAGTAATGAGTGAACAAATCCAGGGAAATCTCTCTGTGGAAGCCCCAGAAATCCTAGGGTGAGATGAGTTATTATTACTCAAACGTCATTTATATGTCATGAAAAAACAAAAGCAAAAATAAAAACAAAAACAAATTAAAAAAAACCTCACTGAGTCATATCTCCCCAAACCAGGTTGCACACCTCTTCCTGAGAAGGCAGAAGTCCAGCAGGATTATAAGTTAAGCATCAGAAATAATTAGCATTGTAAACATTTGCTAGTGTGGCCAGTGATCTCCTATACCCAAGGAGGACTACTCGACTACTCACTTAGCATGTGACTTTGTGAACATGTCGTTTTTTTTTTTTTTTTTTAAGAATTATTTTATTTAACTTTATTATTATTATCTTCCAGTTTGATCAGAGAGAGATATCTTCCCACTCATAACAGAGAGATAAAGACTTTGATCTTTACCACGGGGACTAATGAGGTGAGTTTGTGATAGCTCCAAGCATCTTGGAGAAAAGCACTTGCCACAGTCCTTCTGACCATGAACTCCCGTCTCACTCGGGCATACAGAGCAGTGAAAGTTGTCTTCAGATCAGTATCCTCCAGTTTGTGGGGCAGGCAACCTGGATTAGAAAGGTCACTGTGGGAGGAGTTGATCTAGAGAGGTGTTTCTGGGTAAGGAAGAGTTGGCATTTCTGGGATGTACATTCAGAGTGAGCTATTATACATTGCCCACTTAGGAGGAATGTGTTCAAAGTGAAGTTCCTGGAGGCACAAGGTGGCTTAGTTCTTTACAAACTGGGCTTGTGTAGGTCTGGTGTTATTTGTTTACCATGTGCTGTTAGCATTTCACCTCTCTCCAGCTTTCCAAACCTTGGAGTCTGTTAGAGACCCATTTCCTAGTGCAGTGGTGGTCTGAGAAAGAGGGGTGGGGGGCAGTAAAAGAAAGGAAGAGCCCCACTACCACCTTGTCTGAGGACAGGGTTCCAGGGAGCAGTGGCCAACCTGTGGTCAGAGCAGCAACGTGAGCAAGGGGGGTGCAGAAAGCAGGCAGGCTGGTAGGAGGAGACAATGCTGGTAGGAGGAGACAACAGCTGGTGGGAGAGGTTAGGCCTTGCAGGAAGGGTCAGTCTTGTGAGAGGAGCTCTACCAGTGGGAGGAGTCAATGCCCATAGGAGGGATTGGGCTTTGTGGGAGGGGTCAGTTTTAGTGGTCAAGGCCCATGCTGATGGGAGAAGTGGGGGCCTGGTGGGAGCAGCAGCTACCAAGTGGTTTTAAGACAAAGCCTACCTGCCTCCACAGAGGAGGAGGGTGATAGGGAGGAGGAGAGTGAAGCAGGGGAGACCTGTACAGGGAGACCTTTCTTCTTTCCTGTCATTAAAGTGTTTAAGAGAAGTGACTCAAAGTAAGACGAGGAAGCTGGGGGATTGGGCTGGTGGTTTCATGGGGTGGCTGCAGGCAGTGCTGGACATTGCTCTGATTTCTGAGGCAGCAAAAATCCATATGAACCCTACTTCAGTGGCCTGTGAGATGGGCAGCCATGGGCAGACAGAACCTCACTGGGTCCAATCTCTTTACCTGAGATATGGAGATAAGAGCAATGACACAGTTGGTCATTGTATCCCCTTTTCTGCCTCTAAGAGGGAAAAGCCAGCTCCTGGCTTCTGTGTGGCCACTGAAGACATTAAGTGACCAGGGGTATGAATCAGGGAAGTCCCTGTCTGAAGGAGTCCCAGTGCTTCTGTAGTTCTTTCTTCCCAAACTGACACTCTCCCCGAAGGCCGCCAGATCCCACACAGCTCACAGCCCCCAAAAGAGTCCACTCTGTGTGGACTAACTCTCCCCTCATTCTCCAGCACCACGCAAGGCAGCAGCCCCAGGGCACCACTCAGATGTGAATCTGCCATGAACTCCAACACCAAGAGAAGGCAGTCCCAAATTGTTTTAGCAACATGTCGAGAAACATAGAAAGCCGATGGGTCACAGGCCCACCCCCGCAGGAAAAAGACACAGCAGGGACCAGTGATTATGTCCTGGAATGAGCAAAGGAAGTTCTGGAATAGACCCTGGACTCTCACCATTCCCCGACTACGTGGTGCCAGGATAACACAAAACTGGATTAGACGATGCTCTCTACAATCAGAATGCAAAAGGACCACATGTCTGGGCTGGCAAACCCTTACAGCAAAATAAATCTTCCCAAACCAGTACTTTTCAGAACTCAAATGTTCCCTTGTCAACCTTCTGTTTCAAAACTTCATTGGTGTTCGTTTTACAACTTGATGGCCATCTTCCCTAGCAGTGTCTTGGTCTGTTCACTGCTGTTGTGACAGAATTCTCAGACTGGCTGGGAAGTCCAAGGGCATGGCACTGGCATCTGGTGTGAGGGACGTTCCACCAAGGACAGAGACGGAAGTGAATGTGGGGAGAGGGAATCGGATGGGACTCAGCCTGTTCACCTTCAGCAGAGACACCCTCACACAGTGACTGCTTCTGCTGTAATGGTATCTGTCGTTCAGAAAGGCAGTAACCTCAGGATTTGCTCACTTCTTGAAGGCCCTATCTTTTCATCCTGTTACAGTGGCAATTAAATTTCCACATGAGTTTTGGTGAAGACATTCAAACCATAGTAGCTGAGACCTAGACCTTCTGTCTGGTCTCCCCTAACTCCTCCCTGCTCCTTCTGCTCCAGGTGTCCAGGAATGACCACCCTTCCTGAAGAGGGCACAGACTAGAACACCCTCCCTGGGTGCCCTTCTGCCTGGAAAATCCTTTCTTTCAAGACCTCTCCCAGTCACCTCCTCTGGGTAGCTTCTGTGTCTCTTCCCAACTGTCAGAATTTCCTCTTCTGGCCACTACAGGCCTCTTTTCACATCAATCACCCACTTGTGTTTTATTTTTTCCTGTTCTGCCTCCGGGTTATGAGCTTCTTGAGGACAGTCGTTTGCTGGGGGTACCTAGGACATAAATTTGGTCAACTGAGCAACTGTTTGTTCTTGTGGTTTGTTAGTCACACACAGACATTAGTTGGTATTTACTGTCTATCATGGGCCAGGTCATTTGTTGAGTATTTTACGTGCATTTTTTATTTCATCCTTATAGCAAATCTATATGTGTCCTATTATTACCATGAATATAAAACTAAGAAACTTGAGTCTTAGAGACATTAAGTAATTGGGCTCAAGCCAAATAGCTTGTAATGGCAGAGCCAAGAATATGACCAGATTCATCCATCTGCCCTCCAGAGTCGTTTCAATGTTTGGATAAATTTCAAAATTGTTTGACACAGATTATAAGGACTAAAACTGCCGAGTCTATGCGTATGAGTTTATTTACCATGTGACTATGAACCTGAACCTATTTCTTGAATGTTTAAAATGGAAGTAATAACTTTATGCATTAAATAAGTTAGTGTGAGTATTAGGGTGTTGGAAAAGTCATGACTTTTTTTTTATGGTTTTCTATGATTCAGATGACCCAATAGATTCTTAGTACACACTCTGGTTAGGGCTGGGACCCTGGCGATGCCAGCCAGGTACCCCCCTCACAGGGCACGCGGTCTCAGCACTCATCTCACATCCACACCCTCGAGCAGGATCACCTCCTCGTGCTCCTCTCACCTACTGCTCCTGGCACTCGGCAGTGAGGAAAATCATTATTACCTTTCTCTTTCTTACTTCCCTCTGATCAAGCTGAGTGATCTTAAGGGTAAAACTGTTCTTCCTGTATGAGCAGCTGTTTCTGTAAGTCACCTCTTTCCTTATAACCGTACACACCTAGAAACCCTTTCACCTCCCTTCTTCCCAGAACTATCGCTGTGCAGTGTCCATGTGGTCAGAGTCTTTTACTCTGGTTCTAGGAATCTAGTTTTCTTTTTCTTTCTTTTCTTTTTGTTTTTGCCTTAGGGCATGCGTGCTTGCACGAGAGAAGGAAAGTAAGAAATCACCCTCCTGGGAGGATGGCCACACCACAGTCTCTTTTTCCCTATTCTCCTCTCAGGATTTTGGGAATGCAGGCACCTGTGCCCCATGTGATTTTCAAGTCACCAGGTCCAGGGCTTGAACTGAAATCGACCATATAGGAGCCCAGCTGCCTTAATCACCACACCATGTGGTGGTGGTCTTTTCTTTTCTTTTTTAACTGCTAGAGAGTACTTGCACTTGCCAGAGAGAGACAGAAGGCCAGGGTTTGGGGAAAGCACCCCCAAAGGGGTACGGTCACACCACAATCCTTTCTCTTCCATTTCTCCATCCTGTCAGGATTTTGGCCATGCAAAACCATGTGTCTGGCTTGTTTTTCAAGCCACTGGGTCCAGGATTTGAACAACGGTCAGTCATCTGGGATCTGGCTCCTTTAACCACTAGGCCACAGCATCAAGCCTACAGTTACCTAGTTCTCGACAGTAACCCAAAGGATACTCTTATGAAAATGCAGGTGCAAAGTATCTCCAGAGACTGTTTCCCTCCCACTTCTGCAAGATTCATGGTTTTCTCCAGACAGAGCTCTGAGGCTGTTACCAAGGCTGTGCAGGAGCTCTTCCTTGAGCTGGAGATGTCACACTTGTGCCTTTGGCCCTGTGCTGGGCCCCAAGGCCTTGTCTCCTTTCTAACTGTTGGATGGGTAGGTAACTCTGGGGCACCATCAGAACAGCAGGCCAGCCCCCAATGACTGTAAAATTGCCTACTGCTCTTGGAGTTTTTTGGAAGCTGTTGGAGTGTGGAGCTGTAATGAGGCAGCTTCTGGTTCTCTACAGGAGGAGAGGGTCAGGAGAGGGTCAACCATGGAGGCCAAGAACTTGGCTCCCAGGATCAGAAGGAGCACAGGGCTGGGCAGGGGCAAAACTTACACTTGCAGAGCGCTCTGTGTGTTCATAAAGTGAAGGTGAAAATAATTCTCAGGTTTGGGGTTTTTTAAAGAATTATTTAATTTTATTTAACTTTATTTATGTATTGATTTATTTATTTTAATATGACCAGAGAAGAACAAAGTAGAGAGAGAAAGTGAGAAAGCAAGCTGCTAGGTTCAGTACTCGAACCACAGTCAGCCATGTGAAAGTCCAGCACCCTTAACCACCACACCACCTGCCAGCCCCAGGTTGGTTTTTTTTTCACCGTTCCACTTTTTAAATTTTTACAGCGTACATGTAAAATTGTCATCCTTCATCGCTCTCCCCCTCACTTTTAATGAAGTGGCTTATTTTTTTCCTAGAAGTCTCTGAAATGCAGCTTGTGAAATAACCCTGGTCAGGTATTCAAGAAACTAATTTAGATGGATAACGTTCCTCTGTTTTGTCAAGAATTTTCTTTTCTTTTCTGTCTTTCCTATTTTAAAAAAACCACATAACAAAATGAAGCTCCATTTCTAAAAGAATACTCTTGATTAGCACTGTCTAACATAAATATAACATGAGTGACATCTGTTGTTTTCAGTTTTCTTGTAGCCCACTAAGAAGAATTTTAAAAAGGAAACAGATAAAACTGATGTTCATAATATATTTGATTCAACTAGATGTACCCAAATATTATAAATGAATGATTTTACATTTGCAGAAAACCCAGCGTGTATCTCACACTTACATCACATCTGAATCAGACGGGCCACATTACAAGTGCTTAGTTGCCACGTGTAGTTAGAGGCTCCCGTGTTGAACACTGGACTACACAGTTCTAGCTGCTCCAAGCCTACTGAGGTAGTCTGCTGCAATGCCTGCCTGTAGATTCAGACAGGTCTGGCACACCAACTGCAATAATAAGCATTCGAGCATGCTAGGCCTCAGTCTTCTCACCTATACCAGAGAATAGCACATCTACCCCAAAAGTTGGTTATAAGAATGAAGCAAATTGCTGAATCTGAGGTCCCAGATGCATACTCAATAAACATCAATTTCATTGTTAGTAATAGTAGAGCTATCGAATATTAGTTACAGATCTCAGAGTTAGTGGATCTATATCGGAACCTGACAGATGACAACTGTGGGTCTTACCTGCATGCATTGTGGAGGAGTTAGGAGAGGTGTTTGGGATCACCCAGTCGCTGCCCATTCATTACGTGAACTAGAAGGTAGGGCCCAGAGATCAGAACAGAGCAAATTCCGCATTTCCCACCTCGTGCTCACACACTCCCTTGCCTCCCCCGGGACACATCTAGTTCTCAGCCTTAGTATACTTAAAGGGCAATGAAAATGCTCTGACTCTTCTATTGTATATTGTAGAATGTAATAGACACATTACAAAGTGCACATAAACCGGTAACTCTCTTTAAGAGACTCTTGTCCTACATGCTATACACAGTACACACATATCTGGGGACAGCTTGAAGAGGTGACGTTCCATTGTATTAAAAACAAAAGCTATAAGGGAGAATAATAGTGTGAAATCAATGCAAGGCAACTGATGATTAATATCAGGAAGTCTTTGTTAGAAATGTCATCTATGGCTAAATCAGACATGCTCCCTGGGGACACAGGGACTTGACTTGAGAATTTCCAGTTGGGACAAGGTACTACCAAGTACAGGAGAGAAATGAAGTGCCCTCCTCCCCAGGGGACACTGAGGTGAAGCTCAACTCTCAGGCTTCTCTCTGAGCCAGAGACACAGAGCGGAGCTGAGCCAGAGCTGAACGTGCCTCTGTGTAGTTGTGAGACCCCAGTGTCCAGGCTGCTCAGCGCAACCACAGGCTCAGAGACGATGAGAGGCAGTGCAGGGCGTGTGTCAGAACGACACTGCGTGGAAGGGCGGCACTAATGCAATCACTGTCCATACCTCTGGGAGATGTGGGAGGGCTCCGTGTCACTGGATTTCTGGAAGACACATGACGAGGTGACATGAGGCTTTTTCATCTTTCAAAAGACAATAAGGCCAGATCCTTGTGGGTGCCTCCTAAGAGTCTTCATAGCTGGTTGAACAAGCTTTCACAAAAGGCAGTGATGAATGTCGACCCAGGGAGCCCTCTGGGAGCTCTGCAGCCCCCGTAAATGAATATTAAGGCAGACAGGCATTCAGAAGCACTAGGACACAGAGATGCTGCCAGTCAAAGTCACTAATTACGTTGATCTGGAAGGCATTACAGATATATTGGCTATATAAAAAAATGAACATCCCAAATGATCCATAGAAATGAGAGTTATGGACATAATAAACTAGGCTGAAATACAGTACAGAAGCAATGGCAACACGCCCTTCGACTGGACAG